TTCTTCTTCTTCTTCTTCTTCTTCTTCTTCTATCACTTGTAACCGAGTAAGATTGTCTTCCATGAACAAGGTCTTAGCAGTGAGTCCTTAAGTGACTGTGGATTTTGGATCCAATTCTGGATCCCCACGTCCTTCCACAGTGGGGACATAGGTTTCTGGGTGGGAGCTGATCACAGTGAGGGTTTGCCAAAGCGTGCCTTCCTCTTAGCACTCTAAGATAGAGACCATTACTTGTGGTGCTACATCCCTTTTGCTTGTATTTATTTTTGATTCAGATTTGTCATGGCCAGTGGCTGGTACAAAAAGGTTATTTGGATTGGCCTCAGACAATGGAATGGGATGGGCTGCCCCTGACAATTGGGAGGGCTCAGGGGTCTACAGGAAGGTTGGGAGAGAAGAAGCCTTATTGAATGAACAGACAGTTGCTCATGTGACAGATCTCCCTAGTATTTATTTATTTGTTACCCACTATAAGGGACGCAGGTGGTGCTGTGGGTTAAACCACAGAGCCTAGGACTTGCCAATCAGAAGGTTGGTGGTTCAAATCTCCACAACGGGGTGAGCTCCTGTTGCTCGGTCCCTGCTCCTGCCAACCTAGCAGTTCGAAAGCACGTCAAAGTGCAAGTAGATAAATAGGTACCACTCTGGCAGGAAGGTAAATGGCGTTTCCGTGTGCTGCTCTGGTTTGCCAGAAGCGGCTTAGTCATGCCGGCCACATGACCTGGAAGCTGTACGCCGGTTCCCTCAGCCAATAAAGCGAGATGAGCGCCGCAACCCCAGAGTCGGCCACGACTGGACCTAATGGTCAGGGGTCCCTTTACCTTTACTATAAGGTCACAGGTAATTTCTCTCCGCAAGCTGTCTTCATCTTGTAAGCATTCTGTGTTTGGGGACGTTTGTCCAGAGTTCTGTAAGGAGAAGGAATCAGTGATGAGTTTCCAAAAGCTCATGCAACAAGGGGAGGGGAGTCTTCCCATTTCATTGCACATTGCCGCATGTATGACTATCTTCCTGCTGGACAGAAGTCGTGGTGTGTCTTCAGTTTGGTGAGCTCCTGGCACTTAGGTGATAGGCTTGTTCCCTTGAGGCTAAGGTGGCTGACCAGGAGAAACTGAGGAAGGCAAAGAACTTGATGAAGGAAGCCTCTGGGGAGATTATAGCTGTGAGTCCTGCTCCCAGGTTGGCACTCCCCTGGTGCCATGAAAAAGGTGGGTCTTGGGAAATTGCAGTGTCACTCTGAGGGAGAGGAAAATTACCCCTTAGACCAGTGGTTGCCAAACTTTTTGGGGCCACCTCCCCCTTGGTTCCATAAACTCACCCCCAGTTTCCCCTGCCCTATAAAAAACAATTATCAAGAACGCTGTTTGCATGACCCACAAGATAGTGTTGTTGTTGTTGGCATTTGTCCATCTCAAGAGACAATGGAAGATTGTTGTTGTTTAGTCGTTTGGTTGTGTCCGACTCTTCGTGACCCCATGGACCAGAGCACACCAGGCACTTCTGTCCTCCACTGCCTCCCACAGTTTGATCAAACTCATGCTGGTAGCTTCGAGAACACTGTCCAACCATCTCGTCCTCTGTTGTCCCCTTCTCCTTGTGTCCTCCATCTTTCCCAACATCAGGGTCTTTTCCAGGGAGTCTTCTCTTCTCATGAGGTGGCCAAAGTATTGGAGCCTCAGCTTCCGGATCTGTCTTTCCAGTGAGCACTCAGGGCTGATTTCCTTCAGAATGGATCGGTTTGATCTTCTTGCAGTCCATGGGACTCTCAAGAGTCTCCTCCAGCACCAGAATTCAAAAGCATCAATTCTTCGGCGATCAGCCTTCTTTATGGTCCAGCTCTCACCTCCATACATCACTACTGGGATGGAAGATAACAACATTCCAAACAGTAACAATTAATTGCAGATCTATTCAAAATTCCAAATTAAACTATTTAGTTCAATTAAAATATTTAGTTTAATTAAAGTCTTATAGCCACTTACACCTCCAGCGCCCCCCCCTGCTGCCCACTTGCCTCTTAGAGCCCCCCAGTTTATATCATCATGCACACTCCAGGGTTGTTATCACCCACTTTAGGAAACCACAGTCTTAGAATGATAATAGGCAGGATGGTCAAAGGCCAGGGGTGATGGGAGTTGTAGTCCAATATCTGGAGGGTGCAGGGTCTCCATCCCTGCTTCAAGAGGACCACAGTTCTCTCTCCCCCACCCCTAAACTACAGAGGAAACATAGTTTCCTGCACACATTGTTCTTCTTTTCCTTCCTGAAAGGCCAATTTAGAACTGCTAGGAAATGCTGAAACAGCAACGAATCAGTTATTTTCTTTTTAAATAGCCAGAGATCCTCTGCCTGCTTTGTTTGGTAATTGACAAAACGGCCTTCATAGGGTTTTATTGTTGGGTCCCTGCCCAACAGAGCAAAAGTGCTGATGGCAGCATGTGTAGCCAGGGGGACGCACACAAGCACAGCTTTGTGGAGCTGGAAGCATCCTTCCAGACCGTCCTGCTCCGAGAGCAAGATCAAGAGCTGAATTTTCCTTTCCTTGATATTGTTGGGATGTGAATAGATGCTAGGAAAGGAAACATTCATTAGGCATTATCCTTCCTCACGTTCATGAGCTCAGCAGGGTGCTGTCCCTTTGCCGCTTAAAGGGAAACTTACTTAGATAGGCTAGTTTTAACCTTTATGTAATCCAGGATGCTTTAAGTCAGACTGGATTTCCCTTGCGTTTCACTCCTTTCTCCCCTTAAAACAATAATCACTCAAGCAGTCTTGCATGATCAAATCTATGCTTCCAGGTGCCATAAGAAAGCTGCAGAGATAGCGCAGGATAGTGCACACCCTGGAAATGATCTCTTTTAGCTTATGCCTTCTGGAAGAAGGTACAGGGTTATAAAGACTAGGACTAGCCGCCTGAGAAACAGTTTCTATCCAAATGTGATTTTGGTTTTAAATGCAGTGTAAGGAGTCTCTATGGGAGTATATTGTATTTGAAAATGGAGTATCAGAGTTTTTAGGCGGCTAACCAAGTTGGGATAGCTGGGATAGCAGGCTTGTTGGTTTTTGAATGTCCGATGTAGATTTTTTCAGTTTCATTGTTCTGTATGGGACAATCACAATAAAGATTATCGTATCGTATCGTAAAAGGTAAAAATAACATTCAGTCACTCAGAATACAGTAGTACCTCGGTTTAAGAACAGTCCGGTTTAAACACGACTTGGTTTACAAACTCTGCAAAACCGGAAATAGTGCCCCGGTTTGTGAACTTTACCTCAGTCTAAGAACGGAATTCGAACAGTGGAAGGGCACCGGCGGCAGGAGGCCTCATTAGGGAAAGCGCACCTTGGTTTAAGAACAGTTTCAGTTTAAGAATGGACTTCTGGAATGGATTAAGTTCGTAAACTGAGGTACCACTGTACTTACTGAAGAGTAACTGATATCAGGCAGGCTTAAAATGGCCATTCAGTTAAAAAAGGGATACAGTGGTACCTCGGGTTACAAACGCTTCAGGTTACAGACTCAGCTAACCCAGAAATAGTACCTCGGGTGAAGAACTTTGATTCAGGATAAGAACAGAAATTGTGCTCTGGCGGTGCAGCGGCAGCGGGAGGCCCCATTAGCTAAAGTGGTGCTTCAGGTTAAGAACAATTTCAGGTTAAGAACGGGCCTCCAGAACGAATTAAGTTCTTAACCAGAAGTACCACTGTACTTACAGTAAATCTAGCTAAAAATGTAGCAGATGTTGTCACATTTCTGGCAGAGCAGGGAGAGGAAGAGAGGGAGTGCACAGTGGGAATGTCTCTCACGGAGTCCTCGCTAGTAAGTTTACAGGAAAACTCTGTGAGCTTCAGCTGCAGTCCTGTTCCTATCTAGCAAAACATGGGTTGTTGGCTTGTCTGCATTTTAAAGAACCCACAGACATGGCATTCCGCTCCCTAATGAAGCCCAGTTTATGCTGCCAGACATCAGCTCTGGCCAAGTGATGACTTCAGCGAGCATCGCAACCAGCGAGGCTGCATAGCCCTCTGCATTATGGGACCAGGGTTATTAGCCATGGTACAGTCATACCTTGGTTCTTGAACGGAATCCATTCCAGAAGTCCGTTTGACTTCCGAAGATGTTCAAAAACCAAGGCGCGGCTTCCGATTGGCTGCAGGAGCTTCCTGTGCTCAATCGGAAGCCACAGAAGCTGCGTCAAGACGTTCAGCTTCCAAAAAACGTTCACAAAGCAGAACACTCACTTCTGGGTTTGCGGCATTTGGGAGCCAAAACATTCGAGTCTCAAGGCGTTTGGGATCCAAGGTACGACTGTATCTGAACTGAAACTCCATAGAGACAGCAAAGGGAAGGGCTCTAGGTTTTCATGTTCTGCTTATGGGCTTCCTTGAGGAAGGGCTGCCATCAAGAATCATCATAGCTGGGCACCTGCCAACAATGGCCTCAGGGATCAGAAGAGCCCACAGCCACTCCTGCTGCTCCACCAAGGCTCCTTCCCAGTGTTGTTGCTGTTGAAGGATCTCAGCCATAACCTGTTGAATATTGCAGAGCATACGCAGACTGTCCAGAAGCAGTTGGTTGCAAGCTGGCAGGATGAAGCAGCAATAAGACGCTGCTACTAGTAACTTGGTTACTTATAGGTTTATTATTTACAGCAGACTCACAAGTTACTATATACAGGATACAGACACAGATCTTAACTCTCTCTGAACAAACTCCAACAACCTTTCAGAACAACACTGACCAACCAACCAACCAACCACAGGAAGGTCATGAGTCATCATGCCTATGTGGGTGACCTCGACCAATAGCAGAGTTGTATCCAAGGTCTCATATCTCTTGGCAGAATAACTCCCTCTGCTCAGTCTTCTTGGCCTTTGGCCAACTCTTTGATTGCTACTGTGGGAAGCTGCAACAGATAGCATGTAGGCAAAAATCCTAACAGTTGCAGCTGTGGATGCTGATAAATTTGGGTGAAAAGAACTTGGGGACATGGGGGAAGGGATGTGGCTCAGTGCCAGAGCATCTGCTCTGCGTACAGAATGTCCCAGGTTCAATTCCAGGCTGATCCAGGTAAGACTGGGAATATCCCCTTGCTTGCAGCCCCAAAGAGCTGCTGCCGTCAGAGTAGACAATATCAAGGTTGATGGACCTTAGGTCAGACTTGCCATGAAACAGAGTCCGATGTTTAGATGTTCCTATAAAACTGGCACCATAATTCAAAGTCAGTTTTGAATTATGGTGCTGGAGGAGACTCTTGAGAGTCCCATGGACTGCAAGAAGATCAAACCGATCCATTCTGAAGGAAATCAGCCCTGAGTGCTCACTGGAAGGACAGATCCTGAAGCTGAGGCTCCAATACTTTGGCCACTTCATGAGAAGAGAAGACTCCCTGGAAAAGACCCTGATGTTGGGAAAGATGGAGGGCACAAGGAGAAGGGGACGACAGAGGACGAGATGGTTGGATACTGTTCTCAAAGCTACCAGCATGAGTTTGACCAAACTGCAGGAGGCAGTGGAAGACAGGAGTGCCTGGCGTGCTCTGGTCCATGGGGTCATGAAGAGTCGGACGCGACTAAACAACAACAACAACAACAACATAAAACTGGACTCAATGAAAAATGAAATACAAATAAAATAAATGTTGTGTTGCATCTTCGCCTTTGCACCCTTGGGAGCGAGTCCTGATTATTTCATTGGGATGTCTGCAGGTCTTTGGGCCAGGATTGTAGTAGATTTTCTGCTGTGACTTGAAAATTACAGCGCATTCAGGTCTGCAGAAATCTGATCAACGCCGGGAGATGGAAAAATAGGGCAGCTTTTATAACAGGCAGGCAGCATTTTAAATAAACAGAGTTTAACACACGTCGCTATGTAGCAGCCAGAGTGCCCACTTTCAAGCAAAGCTAATTCAAAAATAGCACAGAGTTTATATATGCATGCACCCTCATAACCACCCCCCACACCCTTTCAGGGAAAATAATGTTCCACCATCATGTTGTTCAGCTCTAAACATTTTCCATTAATTTCAGTGACATTTGCTTGACTCTTCCAACAATTCCAGTGGAATTACAGCTGCAGGTTTTAGAAATGACTGAAAATCTTTGCATGGTGGTTCCCAGTACGTCTCAGCAGTCAGGTGTATCTGTAATGGCTCAGATGATTAAACCTTTCAAATGGCACCAGTTTTTCCACTACACGTTGATACATGTTGTCTTTCGCTTCTGAGGGGGGATAGGTCACCTGGCTGCTGTTTTTTTATGTTTTTATTAAAATATTTTCATGAGTAACAAAAGTACATTCAGTGTCTCTGTTTTCAAATCATAGAGTCCTTCATGCAGGTCAGCTATATTCAGTTTGAGACATTTTTGATGTGGGTAGCATGGGGTTGGTGGGGGAAGATAATTGGGGAGACAAAGGGAGGAAACAGGCATGGGGGAGGGACAATAAACTTCCATTCTTTTTTGTAATATATGAGCCGAGCATTTGTGTTAGCGTCACATGGGTTGGTATCTTGATTTTGCTGGTGGAGGGCAAGAGATAACCACCATCATCATTTTAATTGTATGCCGCCTTTCCATAGTTAAAACAATGCTCAAGGCAGCTTACAACATGACAAGATTTACATAATTACCAACTGTCAGAGCTGGCTCCAGGTCCCAGCTCACAGAGGACCAACGCTAGCCGGCAGTAATGTGCAAAAGTCTTTATTGAAGTACAGTTTCCATTTTCAAGCCGGAGCGCCCCAGCTCTACGTCTAGGGGTTAGATCGGCGAAGCTCCATCTGAGTCTCCGCCCCCTGTACACCAGTTTAAGATTCTAGCCTTACTCCACCTCTTACGTCTCTCCTTTCTCCTCTGGGTCCTGCTACCCCCCGGGGTCCCTTCCTTCCTGGATTCTTCTGGCGCTGAGCCCCCTGACTCCTCCCCCTCTTTTCGGCGGGCTTTGGGACCTGGCTCCCTATCCGGGCTGCCAACTGCGCCGCCCTCCTGTACATTTGAACTTGGCGCGCGCGCCCAGCCTTCAACCTTCCTCTCGACCGTTTCCTCGCTCCCCGATGGAGGCGTGGCCAATCCTGACTCATGTCCTCCCACTGGCAGTGCGCCGCCTGAGCCCGACGCCCGGGACGCCCCCCCCCTACTGCACTCTGGTGTGGACGCTGGTCCTGATTTCCAACTGCTGCTCTCTGAGTCCCCTCTGGCCCCTTCTTCCTGGGGTGTCCCCTCGGCACCCCCTTGCTCTGACCAAGGAGCCCCTTTCTGTGAATCTTCCGATTCGCTGGAAAGACTCAGAGACCTCGGACCGCTGTCATCGCTAACATTTCCTTCGGACTCCTCCCCCTCGCTCTCTATTTCCTCCCTTTCCTGTGCCTCTGCTCCTGAACCCCTGACATCCATCCCCCCCTCGAAGCCCCCCCGTCCCCCCACCCCGCCGTCAGGGGTGGGTACGGGGTGCTCCGTCGGGGTGGGGGTGTGTGCCGGATACAGTTCGTCCCCCGTGGCGTGCATCCAGCCGGATAAGTCCGGCTCGTCCTCCGTGCTCTCGCCGACCTCAATTTCCTCTGCTTCCATCTCTTTGCCGCCGTGCTCGAACCCAAGGTCCTCCCCCAACACGTCCATGTCCGTCTCTCCCCCCGGTCTCCTCCGGGGACGTTGCCTGCCAAGGACCCCCCAACCACTTCCTGCGCCACTGCTCCTCTGGTTGATTGTCCCACCAATAGGAACGGTCTGAGGCAGACCCCGAGGGTGATCCCTCCGGGAACGTGCTTCTAGTGCCGGTTCCTCGTCCGAGGTGAACCCCTGGAATGTGCTAGCTGAAAATGTGGGTGTGAAAAGCCAGTCGTCGAAATACTCGGCTGGCATGGGCCTGTGTGGGAAAAGTGCATGGAACTCGTCCTTGAGCCAAGATTCCTCCAGAGCATAATCTGGCACCCAACTGTTGGCGCTAGCCGGGGTACCTTCCTTGGCGAGGAGGTATTCCACTCCCTCCTCCCCCCATCTCGAGTCTAAAATCTCTGTGACTTCGTTGACGGGTTCCCGCCTTGGCGACCCCCCCCCTTGTGGGCGTTTCCCTGAACGGGTCTGGTGCCGTTCCTGGCTCCTGAAATCTATGAGGTGCTTTGTAGGGCGTGAGCACTGATCTATGGAAAACTGGGTGCATTCTGGATCCCTCCGGCAGTGTCAACCGGAAGGCCACTGGATTGACCTGTGCCTCGACTTGGTAGGGTCCTAGCTGCTTATGCCCTAGCTTCTTCTTCGCTAACGATCTGGCCGGCACTGCCTGGGCTGCTAACCAAACCCAGTCTCCCACCTGTATGTCTTCCCCAACCCTCCTGTGCTTGTCAGCCTGCAGTTTGTATGCGTGCTTTGCTAGTTCTAACTGCCTCCGAAGCTGTTCGTGAACCTCCTGCAACTCTGATGCTAAGGCTTCCGCTGCCTGTGGCTCCCCCCTCCCCCGCTCTCGCTAATCCCGGGAAGGTTCTGGGATGCCTCCCGTTGTTGGCGAAGAACGGTGTCACCCCCGTGGACACGTGCTTCGTGTTGTTGTAGGCGAACTCAGCGAGCGGCAGGTAGTCCACCCATGTTGCCGGCTGCTGATTTGCGTAGCATCGCAGGTACTGCTGCATGATGGCGTTGACTCGCTCCGCTTGTCCGTTCGTCTGCGGGTGTCTCGCCGGCGCTAGGTTGATCTTGACGTTCAGGAAACCCATCAGCTTCTGCCAGAAGTTCGAGATAAACTGTCGCCCCGGTCGGACAGGATAGACCGTGGCAGACCGTGAACTCTGAACACGTGGTCTATGAACAGTTTGGCGGTCTGTTCCGCCGTGGCCACCTTCGCGCACGGAATGAAGTGGGCCATTTTGGTGAACATGTCCACCACCACTAGCACTGCCGTCTTGCCCCTCGAGCTGGGTAGATCCGTGACAAAGTCCAGGGCCACCCTCTCCCACGGTTCGAGCGGTGTCTGCAGGGGTTCGAGCAGTCCCGCCGGCGGTTTGTGCACTGACTTGGCCCTTTGGCAGGTGTCGCACCTCGAGGCGTAAGCCGCGACTTCCCGCCGCATCTTGGGCCACCAAAATCTCTGGCTACTAATTCTACCGTCTTCTCTTTGCCAAAGTGCCCGGCGGTGGGTGCGTCGTGCAACTGCTGCAGTACTTTCGCGCGGAGGTCGTCTCCCGGTGCGTAGAGGGCCCCTCTGCGGATGAGCAATCCGTCGCGTATCTGGAACTCGTCGTCCTCCGCCGTGCCCCTTTGCACCTCTGCCATCTTTGCTTGCGCGAAGGGGTCCTCCTGCAGTGCTCGATGTACAGCATCCAGGTCCACGGTTGCTGAAGCGCACGCCCACGCTTTCGGTGCGAAAATGTGCTTGGCCGCTGCTGGTGCCGCCTCCTCGAGGTATTGCGGCTTTCTGGACAGTGCATCCGCCATGATGTTGTTGTCGCCTGGGATGTACTCTATCCTGAAGTCGAAATCCGCAAAGAACTCCGCCCATCGTATGTGCCTCTGGTTCAGGAACCTTGCCGTGCGCCAGTACTCCAGGTTTTATGGTCCGTGCGGACCTGCACTGTGTGTTTGGCTCCAATGAGGAAGTGCCGCCACGCCTTGAATGCTGCATGAATGGCCAGCAACTCCCTGTCCCAGATGGTGTAGTTCTGCTCTGACTTGCTGAGCTTCCTGGAGTAGAAGGCACACGGTCTCCAGTCCCCATGCGGGTCTTGCTGCAACAGTACTGCTCCCACGGCTCTGTCTGAGGCGTCCGTTTCAACCCTCATCGGTCTGCTGGGATTCACATGCAGTAGCTGCTCTTCGGACGAGAAGAGGCGGCTTGAGTTTCTGAAAGGACTGCTCCGCTTGCTCCGTCCAGATGAACTTCTTCTTCTTGGAGCTGAGCGTGTCGGTAATGGCCGCCGTCTGCATCGCGAACCCCTTGATGAACTTGCGGTAAAAGTTGGCGAAACCGACAAACCGCTGGACCTCCTTCCGATTGCGCGGGCTCTTCCAGTCCAACACTGAGCGAACCTTGGCGCTGTCCATGGCGAGCCCCTTGTCCGACAACTTGTAGCCCAGGAAAT